TGGGGCACCCCGACATCTAGGAAGAAAAGAGCGACAGCCAACAGAAGAGGTGCTCAAGAGGGCACACGAGGGGGCCCCTGCTATGTGCCTGATGAGGAGGCTGGTCTGCGCCAAGGGGAGCAGGGCCTGGGGTCCACCTCTGCCTCCAGGGCAGGCTGACGATGCTGGACGGCTCCACACACCAGCTCAAAGCTCCGAGCCCCGGACAGCCTCCCCTCGCTGCCCTCCCCACCCCAATCCAACCCCCCCCACCGCCCGAAGCAAGTGCAAGGGCTCCAGGGGAAAGAAAAGAAAAGAGGGCCCCAGACAGCCCTGAGACCACCACCTGACTGGGCTCTCTCTGGCCATCACAGGCCACACACAAGGGAGCCCCTCCCCCCGCCCCCCGCGGCCTGATCCCGGGAGGACCAGAACCGAGCCTGCTGGCAGGGAACCACAACCGTGAGGGGCCTCCGCTGCGCTGCAAAACCACAGGGAAGCCTCGAGGGCAGAACGAAACCACAAAGAGCACTCGGAAATACAGGCGAGCAGCGCGCAGCCTCCCACGCGCGGCCAGAGGGTACCTGCCCTCTGCTGCCCTCATCACCAGCCCATGAGGGCCACCAAGTCGCTGGCACAGTCCCGACACAGAGAACATAGAGGGTTCTCTCGCGCTGGCCCTAGTACACTTCCAAGTCCGCAAACGTGGTGGCGGGTGGGAGTCCCGGGGGTCGCCTTCCCCCACGACGGAGGCCCAGGAACACCGCAGCATCTTCAGGGTGAGGTGGGGGGTGGCGAGAAGGAAAGCCACACCTCTCGCTGCCGGTCGTGGACCACAGAGCCGAGACGGGGGGAGCCAGATGTCCCCTAAGAAAGAGCCTACGCTCCAAGGCCACACGTGAGCGTCGGTGCCTTTTATCACTTGACCCACACGTAGGTGCTGGGGGGTGGGAGGACGAGGGCAGGCTTTCCAGGTGGGCCAGCCCCCACCCCTCCTTCACACAGGACCAGATTCCTGCCCGGAGCCCGATGCCCTCTGCCTCAGCAACTCCTCCAGGCAGCCCTCCAGGATCCTCCCTATAGAACGGGTGGGACGAAGTTGCTCAGACAAGCCTATGCTCTTCCGCAGGTACCCAGTACAATGCTGGGGAACGGGTGCATGGCGAGGGAGGCCCCAGGGCTTTCCGGTCCTCCAGAAAAGGCCTCCAGGAACAGTATACCCCCATCCTTGCTCTTTGAGGCTCCCCCGACCCACTGTGCTAGAGGAGGACACAGATCTCTCGGGACAAACAACTGTTTTGTGTGCCCATTACCTGGGAGGGGACGGTTCTGGCCTCTAGGACACACAGGGACAAGAATGACCAGGATGCACCTGGAGTGAATGTAGTCCCGTGGCACTCAGACACGCCATCCCTGTCCCCTTCCTGGGCCTTGCCCCCTCCTTGTCCAGCCGCTCCACAGGCTGACTGCCTGGCTCCCCTCCACACCCAGGCCGCAAGTGAGCTGGCTGGTTCGTGGAGTGAGTGAGCGAGTGAGTGAAGGAAATCCTGACCGCGGGCCCAGGGGCCCCGTGCCTTGAGAGCACCCGCACCCGCACCCCTGGACACAGGCCCCTGTGGCGGCCGGAGGACACAGTCCCTGTGGCACAGACAGCCCCCCCGCAGCCACACAGGAAAGCCAATGGGCCCTGAGCACAGCCCTCCATCGCCATCTCTGGGCTGGACTGGGGAGGACTGGGGTGGACTGGCTGGACCACAGCAGCTTCCAGGACCATCAGGAGTCAGTGATGCCTGCCGGAGCTGCTGGGGACGGCAGCAACGCAAGAGAGCAACGACCCCTTCCCTCCCACCCTCAGTCTCTCCACACCACACAACAGCACATTCCAGGCCTTCCACTGCCTTGTCTCCCAGCCCCAATCTCCTAGATTATCATCCCCGTTCCTGCTTCCAGCCACCAGGCAAACTTCTACTCATCCTTCAAAGCCCAGCTCAGGAATCACTTGCTGGGGGACACTTGCCTGATGTCTGCAAATCCCAGGGCCCACGGTGCTCTCTCCTGGACCCCGGGCCGTATCTGCGCTGGGGGACACCCACCCTAGGCTTCCAGAATGCCCCCCCAACCCGCACCGGCCCACAGGTATGCGATGAATTCAGACACACCCAGAAGACGCCGGGGCCCAGGTGCACCTGCGAGGGAACACGGGTCCAGGCCCAGCCGCGGCCTGTGCAACGGCCAAGCCCCACCCTCAGGGTGCCCGGGTTCTGGGCCCCCAGCAGCTGCCCACCCTGTTTTCCTCCAGCAAACGAAAGCCACGAGTGGGAGGCAGCTCCCCCGGGCCTGCCCCCGGCCAGCCTGCCGTGGCCCGGCCCTCCGCACGGCCACTGCCAAAAGCCTCTAGCTAGGAGAAGCCGCCGCACCACAGGCCCCGGATGGCAAGCACGCACACCCGGTCCCCCGAAAGGCACCGGCCAAGCACAGCACAGACTCCGGAGGGCACAGCTCACCGAGGAGCGGAGCTGGGAGACCCTCCACGACCCCCGGCCTGCAGTCCACCCTGAGGGCTCCCGGCCTCAGTGGCCCGGGCACCTGTTCCCGCTCTTGGCTTCCTTCCTGGCACCCAGCTCTTGCTGTGCGTCAGACCACACCGCCCGGCCTCCCCACTGCACCGGCCGGCGGAGAGCGGAGGACTCGCGCAGGCCCTCCTTGGCGGCACCAAGCGTGGCTCTGTAAAGTGGAGCCAGGGTGCAGAGGGAGCGAGGGGACAACAAAGCAGGCAAGAACGTTCCCACGTCTGCCCACGGAGCGCCCAAGTCATTACCCGCTTCACAGAAGGGCCAACGGAGGCAGAGGCGGCGATGCTGGCTGGGGGGGGGGGGGGGGCGACCGCCCCGACCGCCCCCCAGGACAGGCTCTTTGCACAACAGAAAGCGAAGCCAGACCGCCTTCCCTTGGGGCTGCACTGCCGTGCCCGGGCTGCAGCTAAGGAGCCTGCTCCTGTCCTCGGAGCCCCTGGAGAACTAAGTGTGGGGCACGCTCAAGCACCACGCGCAGCCCCTGCTCCCCCGAACCCCCGCGGGCTGTGCCCACCACCCCTGCCCAGCCAGGCGCAGAGCAGGCTCCGCGCGCTCACCTGGCAGCACAGCCGCTCCAGCCCGAAACCAACCTGCGGGTATGGGGGAGGGGCGCTCAGGGAGCCGTGGGGGCTGAGCAGCAACCCCAGGCCCCCCCACCCTGTGCCAGGAGCAGCCTCCCCAGACAGCGCCCAGCATCCCCTGGGGGCAGGACCGCACGGGGAGCCCCACTGCTCTGCTAGCGCGGAGCAAAAACACTTTAAAACCCCAAAGCAGCTGTACGTGTGCGGCTCCTCCCAGGTCAGGGGAGGAGGGCAGCTTGCGGAGATCTCAGGCTGTCCGGAGGGGCTGCCAGCGGCAGGACGCCAGGGGCGGAGGCCCAGGATGGCCTCTCGCCTCCGAAAACAGAATCCAACGTAATCAGCGATGCAGGACCACGACGCACAAAAGCCGCAAGGCCTCTTCCGTGGGGCGGGGGGGGATGGGGTGGGGGGGGTGGGGGGCGCCATCTGCAGCTGCGGGGTCTGCCTCGGGCGACTCACAAAGCCCCCTTCCTCCGACTGTTCAGCACCTCCGAGGTTTTTAAAACGAAGGTTACTCCGAGTCAGACATTGCTCCGAGTGGTGAGGAAAAGGGCCCCGAAGAGAGAACGCGGGGGCTTCGCCTGCTGGGACTGCTGGGAGCGCAGCGGCAGCAAGGCCCGGGGTAAGCGCATCCGGGGCTCTGGGAAGCCCAGGACCTCGCCTCTGAGCCCAGCCGCGCCACAGCCAGAACCACCCGACAACAGAACCGCCACCACCACCACCAGCTGAAGCGTCTCCTCGGGGAGGCCTGCAAGGCTGGGTACCTGGGGGCGGCCGCATCTGGGGGGGGGGGGGGGGGGGGGCGCTTAAAAAGAAAGTCAGGTGGCCTTGCGAGAAACAGCGGATGACCAAGAGACACCGGGCGATGCCGGGAACACGCGCTGCTGTCACGACCCAGGCAGGGGGTGCTGCGGGCACAGAGCAGGTGGGGGCCAGGGAGGCTGCTCCGTGCTTTCCGGCCGGGGACACACACTCCCACTCCCACGCCCGCACCCGCACACACACCCACGCCCATACCCCCCCACCCCCCCCACCTAGAGCTCGACTGGCCCCCATGGCCAGTTTCCACTCTTCCCCCAGCCAGCTTCAGAGCTCCCGGCCCAAACGAAGCCGGAGGCCCAGTGGGTCAGGCTCCAGGCCACGCTGCCCCGGCTAGCAAAGGCACTGCAGGCTCCTTGCACACCATGGCCAGGCCTCCAGACACAAAAGGCGATGCTGCCCTCTGCGCAGTTTCCTCTCAGGATCTGTTCTTTCTCAGTTCAGGGAAGACAAGTCCCCCCGGCCCTCCCTTGTGCCGAGGAAGCGCCGGACGCAGGAGGGCGCCCTTCCCTCCCCTCTCCGAAGACACCAGCAAGTGCTGCTGGGAAGTCGCCCCCATGAAACCCCGCTGGCACGCGGCCCCCAGAGGGAGCAGCTGACAGGTGGCGGGGCCGGCGGGCCTGCCCAGCGCCGTCGTCCCCTGGGGGCTGCCTGTGACCACGGCTGTGCCCCTCCAGCTCCAAGTCAGCCCACAGAGAAAACACATCCCGCCCTCTACGGGGAAGCACTGCTTTCCAGTTCCGTCCCTCCTCGGCCTGACTTCTCTCCACACCATAAAGGGCCCTACCAGGGGAGGGCTGTCCCCCCACACACAGCCCTGACCACACCCGCCTTCCAGCCTGTCCTCAGGTACTCCAGTCCTGCAGCTCTGTCCTTCCCAGGCTCGCTGTTCCCGGCCAGCCCGAGGGCCAAGCGCCGAGCCTGACACACAGAGGGGGCCCCCCGCTGTGCGGGAGGGACACACAGGTGCTGGGCAGCGGGCACTGGAGGAAGGTGATGAGTGTGGCAAGGGCCTGACTCCCCAGACTCAATCCCATCCCCCACTTACCAGCCATGCTCACCGGGAGAGTGGCTCCCCATCTCTGGGCCTCAGTTTCCTCATCTGTAAAATGGGGACAATCATCCCTACTATTGAGAGTTCTAGAGAGCCTGCCGGAGTGTGCACTGCCACAACTGGGCAATGCCACACCCGAGCTTGGAGGTGGGAGTCCTGAAGCCCACACCGGGTGGGTGGGCAGTGGGGCTGGGTCTGCAGGGCCGGAAGCAACAGGATCCCCCTGCCCAGCCCCCTCACAGGACTCAGACTCTGCTGAAAGGCTCAGGTGCCCACTGGCCCAAGACCAGAGGTGCTGGGCCTCACAGGGACCCCCACAGCCCACCTGCAGGCAGCTCCCACCCAGCACCTTAGCAGCTCTGGAGCTTAAAAATGAGTCCAAGCAAACCTGGCCCAGCCCACCCTTGCCAAAGCACCTCTGCTTGGCCCACGCACACCTGGCCTGCTGCAGCCTCTTCCCGCTGGAAAGAAACTTGTCAAAATCTGGAGCAGGGGAAGCTGAAAGGCAGGGAAAGGATGAGGCACCCACTCTCCCCTGGCCTCTGCAGAAGGCAGCAACCCCATTAGCACGCCACAGAGAAAGAAACAGAGGGTCCAAGAGGTCCCACAGCAAGAAAGAGGCTGAGCTGGGATCTGATCCTGCCCCTTGCAGGGGAGGCAGCGTCCTGTCTGAAACAGGCCTTCCCCTGCCCTTCCTTTCCTGCAAAGAAAAATGAAGACCTCCTGGGGAAAGGGGCAGGTGGCGGCATCTTTCCCCACGGCAAGTGGGGCACACATCGCCAAACGGGTTCCCTTTGAGAAGCCAACTGGCCACCTGTGAGGCAGAAAGAAACGTAAAGCAACTTACCATGGGAAGAACACATGAGGCGAGAAATCACACCCCAGAGTTCAGGCGGCTGGAAGGCAACTCGAGGACCTGGGGCCAGGTCGAAAGTCAGCGGCATGGCGGTGTGGTCCTGCCCTCTCCCAACGCTTAGTAAACCGTGAGGAACCCAGAAATCAGGGGACTCTTTGCAAAGCGCTACGCACAATGCCAACAGGTAAGTACACGGACCGAAGACCCTCACCGGCCGAGCTGGGCGCCAACTCCTTCGTGCTCCCCCCACCGTGCGCCGGCCCCGCTGGAGCCGGGAGTAGCAGGAGTGGATTCCCCGGTACCAGTGGGCACGGGTGTGTTTTCTCCTCAACAGCAGGCTCCTGGCGGCCACACTCGAAGGTCACGCCGCTCTGCACGCCCCGTGCCCGGCACAGGTGAGGGACCAAGGAGCGCTTGCATCTGGCTGCCGGCAGCACTGCAGCTGCCAGGGGGCGGAGCAAACTTACGTGACAAATTAGAAAATCCTACTTTTCCTTTCCTGACAAAGTGGAAAACTAGGCCTGTAATCTGACTGCAGCCAGTGCGCCCCTCGTTCGAAGAAGGTGCCACAGCAATCGTTTCTCACAGTGAAAAACACAGATGAAACTTGACACGGATGGTAGGAGGAGGTCGGGGTCTGACGGAAAGGGGGAGCCAGTCCTGAAGGACAGAGGTCACCGGTGGGAGCCTGGATTTCCCTCAGAAACAACGACAGCACTTCATCCTTTCTCCGAGCCTTTCCCTGCGACGCCCCGTTCCTACAGTCTCAGCTCAAACCCCACCCGCCCTACAAGAAGCCTGCCTGAGTCCTCCCCGCTTTCACCGAGCCCTGCCACGACAAGGACAATCACCGCGGTGCGACGTGCAGTCCACCGACAGCTCCGCGCAACCGAAAGCAGGTAATTCCTGGAAGCCTCCTCCCCGTCCCGTCCCAGTCCTCGGGCTTTCACTTACTCCCCGTCCAGTCGCGCCGGACACACAGTAGGGACTCCCAAGACCCTCCTAACGGCACTACTGGCGACAGCAGTGGCCGCTCCCGGAGGCGCGGAGGCGAAGAGCAGCGCGGCTACAGACCGGCGCGGCCGCAAGGCCCTGGCGCTGGGGGAGCCCGGGCGCGAGGAGAGGCAGGAACCCAGGGCCCGCCGACCGGTGCCGGCCGCGCTCGGCGTTCGGCCTGCGTTAGCTGCACACCCGCGACAGCTCCAGGAGGGCATGCCCCTGGCCGGCTGAACCGCCTGCTCCCGGAAGCGAAGGCTCGCCGACATCCCGCGCCGTGCACCCGGCCCGGCGGTGGGTGGTCCCGGGCCCGGCTCGGGAGCCGACCGACGCCCACCGGCGTGCGGAGAGCGGCCTGGGCCGAGAACCGGGCGCCGGGAGAGCGCCGGCGGCAGAGTCTAGGCTGGGCCGGGGAGCCGAGCCCCGCTCGGGCATTACCTGCTGCGGGGGGTGCCGCTCCGCCGCCGACAAGCGCGCCGGGGCCCCGGGCCCCGCGGTGCCGGAAGTGGCAGTAAGGCCGCCGGCAGGGCCCCCCAGGCGCCCCAGCCCAGTAGGGGCAGTCGATGGCCCGGAAGAAGCCGGTGGAGCGTAGCATGGTCCGTCCCGAAGCGGGACCCCGGCCCGGAGCCGCCCGGGCCCCCGGGCCGCTCACTGGCGCCGCGGTCGCCGCCGCCCGCGCCTCCCGGACCCCGCGGCCGCCATCTTGCTCCGAGGCCCCCGCAGGCCCCCGGGACGCCGCCGCAAGGGACCTCGGGAGCGGCTGCCCGCGGCGCGCCTGATCAGAGACGCGGGCCCTCGAGGGACAGCGGCGCGGCGCGGACGCGCGGGCTGGGACCGGCGTCCGCGGGAGGACGTGCAGAGGACGCGGGTGGCCCGGCCTGCAGCCTCCTGGAGCGCCGCCGGCGCCGCCGCCCGGCCCTCCGAGGCGGCGGCACAGCCATCTTGAGCCCGAGGCCCCGACGGCGCCCGAGCTGTCCACCGCGCGCCTGATCGGGGGAAAAAGAAAAAAAATCCCTCAGGACCCAGCGGTCAGTCCCTTGCTTTTAATTGGCGTTTTAGTAGCGCGTTGCCCTGAAGTGCCCCCTGCTGGACGAGGCGAGTCTTGCGGGCGCGTCTTCCCGGGACCCCGGAACCCGCCCGAGTCACTCCTAAGCGCACCTGCTCGTGGGCAGCGCGATGCCCAGCCCCACGGGGCCCCTCTGGGCGCCTGTTGTCCGCCGGGGCCCGCCCGGGGCGCCACGCTGGAGCCCGCCAACTGGGGCCCGGGTGGGACGGGGGAGGCTCACGGCCTGGGGGCGGGGCAGGCCAGGTCTCACCGACAAGTGGGGAGACTGGGGCGCTGCCGGGCCCCGCCGTAGCGCCGGCCACGCTGGGTCTCCGGGCCGTGAGTCCGAGCTGCGGGATCCGGGGTTACTTAAAACACAGCGTCGTCGGGCCGAGCCTTGCGTGTCGGCGGGACTCCGCGCTGGGGCGGCCGCTCTGGAAGGCGGCGTGGCAGGTCCCCACAAGTGCCGGGTGCGGCCGCCGCACGAGCCAGCGGCCCCTTCTGCGTGCGCGGCCGAGGGGAGGAAAGCGGGCACCTGAGGAGAGACCCGCACGCCCCTGCCCGCAGCCGCAGGACTCACCGGAGCGGCCGCTGGGACAGCCCACGTCTGCCGCCAGAAGAGTGGACACCATGCGGCACGTCCACGCGACGGAGTGTCACTGCCCAGACGGAGGAAGAAAGGAGGGACCCGACCCCTGCCACACGCTGAGGCACCCCGAGGACACGGGTCAGCGAGAGCGGCCAGACCCAGAAGGACCGTCCCGCAGGACCCCACTCCCAGGAGGGCCGCAGAGGAGTCCCCTCCACGCAGACGGAGAGGAGGGGGTCGGGGCAGGGGCTGGGGTGGGGAGTCTGTGCTTCGTGGGGACAGAGTCTCCGCGTGGGGGGATGGAAGGTTCTGGAGCCAGAGGGTGGGGATGGTCACAGGACAGGGTGAGTGTGCTTCACGCAGCTGTGCGCTTAGAAATGGTTAAAAATGCAACGTTTTATGTTATGTATTTTTACCACAATCACAAATTAATTAAGAAGTATGGCAGGAGGGTCGGTGGGATGGGGAGGGTCAGAGATGACTCTGCAGACGACACAATCTAATTTTGTTTTGCAGATTTTATTTATTTATTTGACAGAGACGCACTGAGAGAGGGAGCGCGGAGGGAGAACCCGGCTTCCCGCCGAGCAGGGAGTCCGAGACGGGGCTCCATCCCAGCACCCTGGCGGGGGACCAGGACCTGAGCCGAAGGCAGACGCTCCGCTGACTGAGCCACCCAGGCGCCCCACGTGGGACTCTTTCCGGAGCGGGTGTCCAGGCGGGAGACAGCTGGAGGCTGTGCATGTGAGGGTCCTGGTCGTGCACACCACGAAGGGACTGGGAGCCGCGGAGGGCCAGAAGCAGTGAAGGATTTCTCCCCTTAACAGTCCCCTGTTCCTGGGGGTGTCCCACCACCGCAGCCTCCCACACCTCCCCGTGTGCCCACAGTGTCGGGCGGAACAGCCTGAGGATCTAGGGGTCAGAACCCAGCCGGACACAGAATCTGCAACATGTATCTGTAAAGCGGGTCAATGCAAAAGAGTGAAGGTGCCCTCAGTTCGGGGGGTGGGGTGTGTGTGCGCCCTCAGTTCGGGGGGTGGCGTGTGTGTGCACAAACCTGGATTTCATGCGCCCACCTGGGGTAAGACTTTAGTAAGGAAAACAAGAAATGGAGCCGGGGGCAGATGGGAGGCGTCTCCAACAGGGCGCCCGGGTGGGCTGTTTTAGTCCACTTGGTGGATTTTTTCCTTTATTTAGGGGAAAGTCCCATTAACAGAGTCAATCATTTTATTTTCTTAAGATTTTGTTTTTAAGTAATCTCTGCACCCCCGGTGGGGCTTGAACCCATGACCTTGAGATCAAGAGTCACATGCTCCACTGACTGAGCCACCCAGGCGCCATCAGAGAGCGCCCGTGATTGATTACTTAATATTATCAATAATTATCAATTATTCATAATTATTTTGGAAGTGAAAATTCAGGGGCATTTTTGTACATTCTCTGTTCTGCGCAGCCGTCACCTCTACGTAACTCCAGGATATTCTGAAGCCAACCCCGTCCCCATCAGCATTCATCCTTCCCCTCCCCCGGCCCCTGGCCCCCAGGAGCCCCCTTCCTGTCCATGGAGGAGCCCGGTCAGGGCGTGTCATACGCATGGACTCACGCCCCCCCGTGGCCTCCTGTGTCTGGTTCCCTCCCTGTGCGTCGTGGGCTCGGGGTCCGTCCCTGGGCAGCGCGTGGGCGCCTCGCTCCTGGTTACAGCTGAGTGCAGGCGTGTGCTGGTTTCACGTGTCTGGCCGTGGGTGGGAGGGCGTCTGTGCCTCCTGCACTGTGCAGCTCTGGACACGCAAGTGGTTGCTTTCTGTGTGTGTGTTTGAGCCCCAGGGTTTTGAGTAGGAGTTTTTCAAATGATATGAATGTGTCCGTTGCCCATGTTTAAAACATGGGGAGATACACCCCCAACTGCCCACCACAGCTGCCGTATGAACAGCTGGCCACCCCGGGTCCAGCAGATGCTGATAGCCACAGACCCCGTGAGCACAGGATGGCCCCCTCCCAGCCTCCTGCTGTCCTCACCTCAGCCACCGGGCCCCTCACACAGGGGTCCGTCGACACCTGTCATCACCAAGAACAGGAAGGCGGGCCCCCGAGAGTGGCCCGACAAGGTGTGTGAAGTGAAGCTCACCTAGTCTCCATCCGCGCTCACGGGCGGGCCTTGGACGTCCATTTAGCAAATATTCACCAAGTGCCCATTACATGCCAGACACAGCGCTAGAAGCACCGGTGAACAGCGGAAAGATCCCCCTGGTGGAGGTGGTGCTCCAGGTGTGGGACACAGACAAGAAGACATAAGGAAAGGAGACAGCACGATCCAAGTGCTGGGTGAGGGCGAGGCGTGCGTCTGAGAAGAGGTGGTTCATATAGTCCTCTGGGGACGGTGGGAGTTGAGCGGTTCTGAAGAAGGTAAAGCGGGGGAAGGGCATTCCAGGCAGCAATCACAGCTGGTGCAAAGGTCCTGGGGTAGCACTGGGTTGACCGGTTGGAGGAACAGAGAGGAGGTCCACGCGGCTGGAGCAGGGTAGGCAAGGGGGAGAGGGAGGAGTGCAGGGCAGGGAGGGGATGGGGGCAGGTTGTGCAGGGCCCTGGAGACATCCGGTGAAGACTTGGGCTTTTCCGGGAGGAGCCCCAGAGGCTGTAAGTGGAGAGTGGGACGTGAGGCAGGTGCTCATGGGCGCCCTCTGATGGCCACGGAGAGGGGACACATCAGACGGGTCGTCGGGGGAGGGGGGCAGGAAGGAGACCAGGGTAGAGGGGCCTGCAGCGGTCCAGGTGGCCAATGATGGGGTGGAAGTGGGCACACGTTGGATGTGCTTTGAAGTTAGAACTCCAGGAAGGTTTCTGGATGGAATGGATGTGGTCAGAGACACTCAAGGTCAAGGATTTTGGCCTGCACCTGGAAAGATGGAGAGGCTGGTGCCTGAAGAGGAGGTGGGACTGGGCAGCCTGGTGGTGGGAATTGGCACTTTGAGGGTCCGGAGTTGAGGTCCGACTGGCGTGGGACCAGGGAGTGTCGTCGGCACGTAAGAGCATGTGAGCGTAGAAGGAGCTAAAGGAGGGGGGCCTGAGCCCAGGGTAGAGGATATCCAAGGGGGTCAGGGATCCCCGAGGCCACATGACCAGGAAGCGTCCGGAAGGCCACGGGGGACATCTTCGAGCTGTGCAGAGTACATGAGATGGTGTCCCAAGAGAGACAGGCAGGAGGGGCTGCGTGTGTGGACCCCGAATTCCAGGGACTCTGCCCAAAGGGGCAGAAAAGCCAGGTGGAGTAGAAGGGGGGCAGTGGGACCGGGGTCCAAGGAGCAATGCCTGCGGGCCTGCGGGACAGAAGCCAGTGAAAAGGGGACAACGCGAAGCAGGGGTTAGGAGGATGCAACAGGGAGGCCGTCCTTGAGGAAGGGCGGGGGACCCCTGCCCAGCGCTGCCGCAGGGCCAGGACCCCGGGGCAGGGCTCGGCGGAGCCGGCGGGGCAATGCCAGGAACGGCCACCAGATGGCGGGGCCTTCGCCTTCCCGGGGCGGACTCGGGGAAGGCCCTGGGAAGGGTCGGCGCGCCCCCACCGGAGCCACACCCGCCCTCGGGGCCCTGCAGACCGCGGGGATCTGGGCGTCTATTCCCTAGGAAAGGGGTGCACGACCCTCATCAGCTTCCCGGGGCCGCTGAGTCCTCCTCCCCAAGAGGCTCCCCAGCCCTGTGCCCTCCAATCCGGAGCGGGCGGACGGCAGGCGTGCGATACGTGAGCAGACCCGCCGGGCGCGCGAGCCGGGCGCGGCACCGAGGGCGGGGGAGGCAGCGG